GTCACAACAGAAGTCATCTCAGAGGACTTAACAAAACCATTGAAATCACCAACACAGGTCAGAGAATCAACAGTTAAAACACATGAAGAATATAAAGCACACACAGAAGAAAATGTCCATACATGTTGTAGAATGCTAAAGTGTCCTGATCATCACCAATCCTTTCTGTTGGACACTAACTGTCCAACAAGACCCTCCTGCATCGACAAGGAAAAACTCTTAAAAAACCCAGTGGGAAAAAGTGAGAAACCTTGGAGGAGAACTAGGGAAACCCACAGGGAGGGAGACCCATATGAGAAAGGGATCCGCTCCTCCGGACGGACAGACTAATGATCTAGGACCTAAGCTAGCTACAGGACGTGGACCAGTGGACGCTGAACGTGGACAGGTCCGGTGCAGGACTGAAGCACTCCCAGGCGGGTCGGGCGGGGCAGTCCGCAGGTGTAGATGGAGAAGGCCAGGCTCAGAGATACCGTCATCGTACCATGAAACAGACAATGGGACAACGGGTGAATAGCAATGAACAAACTACAGTCAGAATCCTAAAACTGCTAAACAGATAAAGTAGGAAGGAGGAGAGGATAGTGCTCAAGTTACCATACTTCTCCCAGCAAACTGACTCCCTATGCAGCTTGACTAACACTCTGAGGAGTTTAACCTTCTCCGAGTCTTACCTTCCTAGCCATATGCTAAACTAAAGAGGACTGTTTTAAACCTAGCCTTGAATAAAGAATAACATACAGCATAATATATAACATAATATACAACATAACACAATACATTATTGAATAATATATAACATAATATATAACATAATACAGCATATATATATAATATATACACTACATATTATATATTACCTAATTATATGCTAAATTAAAGTAAAGTGCTTTAAGCCTGGCCTTGAATGTGGAGACCGTATCTGCTTCCTTAACATAAATGGGAAGCTGATTCCACAGTAAAGGAGCTTGGTAGCTAAATGCTCTGCCACCAACAGTGACCTTTGAGACCTTAGGGACCACCAGACGTCTGGCGTTTTGTGAGCGCAACGCTCGACTTGGTTGATACGACACTAACGTGTCTTGGAGATAAGAAGGAGCCAAGCCATTTATGGCTTTATATGTTAAGAGTAGGATTTTAAACTTTATTCTGTACTCCACAGGGAGCCAGTGGAGTGATTTTAACACCGGAGTTATGTGCTCCCTCCTTTTGGTACCTGTTAAGATCCTAGCTGCTGTATTCTGAACGAGCTGGAAGCTCTTCAAAGAGGCTTTAGGGCACGCTGCCAGTAAAGCGTTACAGTAGTCGAGCCTTGAGGTGACAAACGCGTGAATGAGTTTTTCCGCGTCACTTTTAGGAAGGAAATTCCTAATTTTAGCGATGTTCCGTAAGTGGAAGTACGCCGTTTTAGTTGCTTGGCTTATATAAGCCTTGAAGGAGAGTTCTTGGTCAAAAATGACTCCAAGATTCCTCACAGTGTTACTGGGTATTATACTGACATTATCGAGAGTAACCATCTGGTTAGTGAGGGAGTCACGCAGGCGCTTCGGACCGAGTAGGATCACTTCTGTCTTCTCCGGGTTGAGAAGTAGGAAGTTAAGAGTCATCCACATTTTAAGGTCCTTTATGCAGGCACTGAGCTTTTCTAGCTGATCTGTCTGATTAGGCTTCATCGACAGATAAAGCTGTGTGTCATCTGCATAGCAGTGGAAATTAATTCCATGCTTTTTAATAATGTTTCCCAGTGGCAGCATGTAGAGAGTAAAAAGAATCGGTCCGAGTACCGAACCCTGCGGCACACCGAATTCCACTCCAGAATAAGGCGACGAGTCCTGATTCACATTGACGAAGTGATATTGATCTGATAAATAGGATTTAAACCAGCCAAGGGCTGTTCCTCTAAGACCTATATCACATTCTAGCCTCTGCAGTAGAATGCTGTGGTCTATTGTGTCAAATGCAGCACTAAGGTCCAGTAGGACCAGCACTGACACTTGTCCATTATCGGCAGCTAGTAGTAAGTCATTTGTGACTTTGACTAGTGCCGTTTCAGTGCTATGATGAGCTCTGAATCCTGATTGAAAGACTTCAAACATATCATTTTCCTGCAGGTGGCAGCGGAGCTGCTCAGCTATAAGTTTTTCCAGGATTTTAGATATAAAAGTGAGGTTCGAGATCGGTCTGTAGTTTGTAAGTATTTCTGGGTCCAGGTTTGTTTTCTTCAGAAGGGGTTTGATTACCGCGGTTTTAAAAGCTTGTGGGACATAGCCACATTGTATGGATGCGTTTATTATATTTACGATAGGCTCAATTATCAAAGGAAGTATGTCTTTGAAGAGCCATGTCGGGACTGCGTCTAACATGCAAGTTGAGGCTTTTGAGGATGTGACCACAGAGATCACCTCTGCTTGGCTCACAGCCATGAATTTATTAAGGCCCACTGAAGAGTCTAAGTGGGAAGTCACGTATGCCGCTTCAACCTGTCCACCACTAACAGCAGGAGCAACCTCCTCCAGCTTGTCACGGATGGATGTAATTTTGTTATTAAAGAAGTGGAGAAAGTCGACACTGCTCAGTGAGCTTGGAATTTTAGGCTCGATTGCGCTATGGCAGTTTGTGAGTTTAGCGACGGTACCAAACAAAAATCTACTGTTGTTTTTATTCGCTTCTATTAAAGTTGAATAGTATTGAGTTCGAGCCCCGCGAAGGGCCTTCTTGTAGTTTCGGAGACCTGCTTTCCACTCCCTGTGGACAGGCTCCGAGTGGGAGTGGCAATATAGCCTCTCCAATTTTCTGACGTCCTGTTTTAAAGTGTGGAGTTGAACACTGTACCAGGGCGACGATGATCTAATCCTAATGGTTTTCTGTTTTAAAGGAGCTGCTGCATTTAATGCAGATTTTAAAGACTCCATAGTGTTGCCCACCGTTTGGTCGATGACTGAGGGACTGCAGCTGCTGTGAACAGGTTCACCTGCAGCAGTATTCAACATAGGCTGTATTAGTTCTTTGAACCTTGTGATAGATTTATCATTTAAGGTTCTTTTCATTATGGTTTTATCTTGCGGGACAGGAAAGTCCTCCAAAGCGAGATCAAACGTGATCAAGAAATGGTCAGACAGCAACGAGCTTTGACGCTGGATGTCAACATTGGAGACATCACAGCCGTAGGTCAGGACAAGGTCCAAGGTGTGGTTATGAATGTGAGTAGGTTCCTCGACATTCTGAGTAAAACCAACACCATCTAGTACGGCGCTGAAAGCTTTGTTTAAGCTGTCAGTGCTGTCGTCCACATGTATATTGAAGTCTCCAGCTATAACTATGTTTTCCCATTCCAAAACTAGGTTTGAAATGAAGTCAGAGAATTCTGTTAGGAACTCGCTGTAAGGACCAGGAGGTCGGTATAAAACTATAAATAGTACTGCTTTTTGTTTTCTCCACCCAGGACAGGTGATTGAAAGTGTTAAGTTTTCAAACGAGTGAAAAGCGTTGTTGGTTTTGGGACTAAGAACCAAGTTGGTGTGTGATATAATCGCAACACCACCGCCGCGACCTGTAGCTCTGGCTTTCTGGTAGTTAACATGCGTCGGAGGAGTGCACTCATTCAATCTAACGTACTCGTCCTGTTGGAGCCAAGTCTCCGAGAGCGCTAACAGATCCAAGCCCTTGTCTATAATAAGTTCGTTTATGAGAAGCAATTTAGACGAGATTGATCTGACGTTCATTAAACCACATTTAACAACCCTACTGTTAGAACTATTTCTGTCTGTCTGAACTTTTATTAAGTTACTGTGTCTGACACCTAGGTCAGATTTCCTCGCATATAGTGCTTTAGACTTCAAGCGGGGAACACACACAGTTTCAATCTGACTAGGGTCTGAGGCTAGTAACTGAGCACACACAGGCACACACACACATGCACACACAGTTTTAATCTGACTAGCTTCTGAGGCTAGTAACTGAACAGATGGGGGCTCAGAGGTTGTGGCAGAGCAGCTCTGCACCCGGGCCTCAGTTCTGCACCGTCATTTGAGCCGAGCAGAACAGTTTAGAGCCAGGGCCAAATTCTTAGCCAAAAGGGATGTACCCGCCAACGTTGGGTGGATATCATCCGAGCGGATGAGACCGGGCTTTCCCCAAAAGGCACTCCAATTGTCAACATGAACAACACCACTTCGAGGGCACCAGCCAGACAGCCAGCGGTTGAAAGCCGAGTGTCTGCTGAATGCTTCTGCACTGCTAGTGCTAGGTAGGGGCCCAGAGAAGATGACAGTGTCGGCCATTGTGCTAGCCAGCTTGCACACGGCGGCGACTTGCAGCTTCAACACCTCGGACTGTTTCCGCCGAACGTCATTACCACCCGCGTGAATAACAATTCGACGGAAACGCTGCTTGTGGGTCATCATGAGCCTCAGATTCCCTTCAATATCACCATGTTTTTATGCATAAAAACATAAAAACCTTAGTAAAACCCACCACCCATTTTGCACCCACCGACACATACATAAACTGTAGTAGTCGTGTTTTGTTTTTAACCTGTGGACTGTGTTATATTGTGACTTTAATATCGATGAATGATAATAATAATAATAAATCCTTCAGGAGTTGTGCACTGGGCATTTACAGTAAATGTTGTAGTTGTTTTCCAGTCTCCAGATCCACGTCACCTCTGTCCCACTCTGGTCCAGTTCTCCTCCTCTCCGCTCCCCCCTCTCCCTCCCCTCTCCCTCCCCTCTCAGTCAGCCCCAGTGCATATTAATGAGACAGGAGGGGGGAGAACGCGCTTAAAAAGAAGGCAGAGCGGAGAGATCTTCGCACAGTGGATCCAGCTTCGACTCCTGCATTACGCACAGAGACAGAAGCGCGCACTCGTACTCACACGCACACAAACACGCACAGGAGACCCCAGGACAGACCCCAAGGACCAGCGGACCCGAGACCTGCCTTGGACCCCGAAAAGAGGAGTGATTTAGCGGGAGAAAAGCTCTGAACGCAGCGGAGCCATGGCCCGTTACGTGACACTACTTCTGCTGCTGTTGGCTTTGTGCGTAATGAGCGCAGAAGGTAAGAAACTTCTCCCACGAGCTCTTTACTTCTTTGGCGTCGCGTAGAGAACAATTTTTTTGGCGATCTTTGTGTTGTTTTGGTTCTCACGCACGGGCTGGAGGGTAGTTACGTTGGTGTGACGTGTTGTTGAATGTGTTTCGTGAGTAGAAAATGAATGGGGAGAGACGTAAGAGAGAATGGAGATCAGTGGTACTGTCTCAGAGGAAGAATGTTCACCAAAGCACATCTGAGGAGCACAGGGACTGGCCTCCTGCTGGGACTCTGAGGAGCACAGGGACTGGCCTCCTGCTGGGACTCTGAGGAGCACAGGGTCTGGCCTCCTGCTGGGACTCTGAGGAGCACAGGGGCTCTCTGGTCTCTCTCTGAACTCTCTCTGGTCTCTTTCTGAACTCTCTCTGGTCTCTCTCTCTTTGGTCTCTCTGGTCTCTCTTTGGTCTCTCTTTGGTCTCTCTCTCTCTCTAGTCTCTTTCTTGTCTCTTTCTTGTCCCTCTCTGGTCCCTCTCTTCTCTCTCTCTGGACTCTCTGGACTCTCTCTGGTCCCTCTCTTCTCTCTCTTTCTGGTCTCTCTCTCTCTCTCTGGTCTCTCTCTCTCTCTCTCTCAGGACTCTCTTTCTCTCTCTCTGGACTCTCTGGTCTCTCTCTGGTCCCTCTCTTCTCTCTCTCTCTGGTCTCTCTCTCTCTCTCTGGTCTCTCTCTCTCTCTCTCTCTCAGGACTCTCTTTCTCTCTCTCTGGACTCTCTGGTCTCTCTCTGGTCCCTCTCTTCTCTCTCTCTCTGGTCTCTCTTTCTCTCTCTGGACTGGATGTGAGACAGACTTCTTCTTCTCTGACAATGTTCAAATCCAGGTTAAAAACAGTTGAGTTTCTGCAACAACTGAAGGATTTTATCGTCACTCTTTATAATGTGCTGTGGTTATTTATGATTTTAACGCCTCGTGTGACAGTTTCTCTCATGTTTTGTTCAGAATGTGCTCAGATTAAGACACATTTTGCCAAATTTGAGCCATTTTGGACTTATTTTTAATCACCTTTTGATAATTCCATCAATTATTTCATTGATGGAACATCCTTAAAGCTGCGGTTTGTAACTTTTGGTGGTAAAAAGTGTCCATATTTGAATGTTTTTGACCCGGCAGCTGAGAGGGGTCAGAATGGTACCTTTCCCTCCACATCATGTTTTTTTTAAATATTATTTCATATTATCCTATTGCAAATGTTGAATCTAAGACTCCCAGAGCAGTCTTTTTGACGGCTCAAAACAATTGAATTCGGAAAAGCTAAAAAAATAAAATGAGTTTGTTTTCCACCAGTCTCACAAAAAAGTGCTTAAAATACAGCATATACAGAACTGAGGCTGTAGACCCAGGACTGAGGCTCTAGACCCAGGACTGAGACTGTAGACCCAGGACTGAGGCTGTAGACCCAGGACTGAGGCTGTAGACCCAGGACTGAGGCTGTAGACCCAGGACTGAGGCTGTAGACCCAGGACTGAGGCTCTAGACCCAGGACTGAGGCTGTAGACCCAGGACTGAGGCTGTAGACCCAGGACTGAGGCTGTAGACCCAGGACTGAGGCTCTAGACCCAGGACTGAGGCTCTAGACCCAGGACTGAGGCTGTAGACCCAGGACTGAGGCTGTAGACCCAGGACTGAGGCTGTAGACCCAGGACTGAGGCTGTAGACCCAGGACTGAGGCTGTAGACCCAGGACTGAGGCTGCAGACCCAGGACTGAGGCTGTAGACCCAGGACTGAGGCTGTAGACCCACGGGCCCTGGGACCAGCGGAGACCAGTTCACAGATGCAGATGTAAAATTTGTCAATCTTGAGATCATAAACTGAGTTCACAGTGTCATCCAGCCAACTCCAGCTCCACCAATACTCTGTAATACCTTGTAAACCTCAGAACCTCTGGAATGTATTTGTTTTGATGTCTTCACTCAGGATAATCACTCTGGTCTCTCTCTGGTCTCTGTCTCTCTCTCTCTGCTCTCTCTGGTCTCAGGTTGTTCCTGGATGGAGCTAAAACCAGCTCCAGGTAGAGCTAGATAGATAATAAAACTATAGAGAATAGATGGTGCAGCAGTAACACGCATGCAAACAGATAAATACATAACTCTGACAATAGTCCTGTCAGCTCTGAGGTCATGTGACTGCTCTGGGCTCCTTCTGTCGGCTTGGCGCTGACTCCACTGTCCATATGCTGCTCTTCCACTCTCCAGCTCCACGCTCTGACAAACAAGCATCCACTTTGAAATCCCACATGGTCCCAGAGGGAGGCTGGCATGACCAGGAGAGACAGGGACCATCAGAGAGACTGCTCCATTTGAATATGTTCTGTCTCTCTATCCACAGGCGAGAAAATGGTCTCTCTCTGCTCTCTCTCTAGTTCCTCTCTGGTCTCTGTCTGGTCTATGTTTGGTCCCACTCTGGTCCCTCTCTGGTCTCTCTCTCTGGTCTCTTGCTGGTCCCTCTCTGGTCTCTCTCTCTGGTCTCTTGCTGGTCCCTCTCTGGTCTCTCTCTCTGGTCTCTTGCTGGTCTCTCTCTGATCTCTCCCTGATTTCTGTCTGGTATCTCTTTGGTCTCTCTCTGGTCTCCCTCTGGTCTCTCTCTCTCTCTGGTCTCTCTCTCTCTCTGGTCTCTCTCTCTCTCTGGTCTCTCTCTCTCTGGTCTCTCTCAGATCTCTTTCTGGTCTCTCTCTGATAACTCTCTGGTGTCTCTCTAGTCTCTCTCTGGTCTCTCTCTGGTCTCTCTCTCTCTCTCTGGTCTCTCTCTCTCTTGTCTCTCTCTGATCTCTTTCTGGTCTCTCTCTGGTGTCTCTCTCTGGTCTCTCTCTGGTCTCTCTCTGGTCTCTCTCTGGTCTCTCTCTGGTCTCTCTCTGGTGTCTCTCTCTGGTCTCTCTCTGGTGTAGGGCTGAAACAACTAATCGATTAATCGACGACTAATCGATTATTGAAATAGTCGACAGCTATTTTAGTAATCGATTAATGTTTGGTTCACACGGACTCAAACAGAGCAAAAATTACATGAAAATGTAGTATTTTTGATTAAAACCGACTTTGTTTTTATAATTTCATGAAAATCTGTCTGTCTCATCCAATCAGAGCAGAATTAGCACAAAGAGCCTGTTACAAACATTTACTTTAAGTTTACGCCATCAATACGTCCTCGAGTGTTGCCACTTTAGCTTTTTGTGATGAAAAAAAAAAAAAATTCTACACAATTCACAGCCAAGCGATTACTCGATTAATCGTAAAAATAATCGATAGATTAATCGATTACAAAATAATCGTTAGTTGCAGCTCTACTCTGGTGTCTCTCTCTGGTCTCTCTCTCTCTCTCTGATCTCTCTCTGGTCTCTCTCTGGCCTCTCTCTCTCTCTGATCTCTTTCTGGTCTCTCTCTGGTCTCTCTCTCTCTCTGATCTCTTTCTGGTCTCTCTCTGGTCTCTCTCTCTCTCTCTGATCTCTCTCTGGTCTCTCTCTGGCCTCTCTCTCTCTGATCTCTTTCTGGTCTCTCTCTGGTGTCTCTCTCTGGTCTCTCTCTGGGGGTTTCAGGTCAATATGGCACATCTAACACTCACATTCATGTTGTTATCCCAGCTCTAGAAGCATGGCCACTTCAATAATGTGGCCTTAGAAGCATGGCTAAACACTTCAAACCCGTATTCAGGTCCGTGTCTGTGTGAGTGAGATTCTGTCCTAGCCCATGGTTCCTCTTTGGTCCGGACCGAAAAAACCAGGTTCGGTTCAGGCTTTGGACCATAGTCACCAGGAGTCTTTACCAGACCAAACCAAGTCCTTGATCAAACCAAGTCCTGGATCCAGAGTCTGATCAAAGGACTGACTTCAAACACTTCAAACACTGATGAACCGCAGAACAAGAATCTCTGGTATTTTCCGGATGTTTGGACTTGTTTTCTGCTTTCAGGCTCCACTCACTGCATCCTCTGAAATACAGCCTCCTGCGCTAGCGTAGCATCCTCAGACTGTTTACAGATGACACTGCTAACAATGCAAACCCGCTCAACGAAGCCCAAAAGGGAAGTGCAAATCGAGAAAGTTTTGCTTCAACTCTCTCTGACTCTTAGGGAGAGACCAGCGAGAGACCAGAGACCAGCGAGAGAGACCAGCGAGAGACCAGAGACCAGCGAGAGAGACCAGCGAGAGACCAGCGAGAGACCAGAGACCAGCGAGAGAGACCAGCGAGAGACCAGAGACCAGCGAGAGAGACCAGCGAGAGACCAGAGACCAGCGAGAGACCAGAGACCAGCGAGAGAGACCAGCGAGAGACCAGAGACCAGCGAGAGAGACCAGCGAGAGAGACCAGCGAGAGACCAGCAAGAGAGAGACCAGCAAGAGAGAGACCAGAGAGAGAGACAAGAGAGAGAGACCAGAGAGAGATACCAGAGAGAGATTAGAGAGAGACCAGAGAGAGACTAGAAAGAGAGACCAGAGAGATTAGAGAGAGACCAGAGAGATACAATAAAGAGAGACCAAAAAGAGAGACCAAAGAGACCAGAGAGAGACTAGAGAAAGAAAGAAGTCTGTGGTTTACAGCTCTCTGTGGTGCTGGTATTTAAATAGTTATATTGTCTTTGTAAATCCAGAGCCATATAAGGACCGACCAATCAGAGGCCTTCATTCAGGGGGAGACTCATTAGAATATCATCTGTATCATTTGCGCATGATCTCTGTAGGAATATGGATTAATACAGACATTTGTGTTTTTCTTTCTCTACTGCTTCTGTTGATGTCCGTGAAGAGCTCATTCCCACGGCAGGAGCTCGTAGCAGAGCCGCTGTTCCCACCACATCCATAGGAGCTGCTTGTAATATAAATATATATTAAATAGGAACCAATTCTGTCTATTTTTGCTTGTTTGGAACAGCTCTAAACACAGACTGATGTAGCAGTTAGAGTAGCAGTTAGTGTAGCAGTTAGCGTAGCAGTTAGCGTAGCAGTTAGCGTAGCAGTTAGCGTAGCGTCGCCGTGGACACCAGCTTTGTGGCCTTTGCTGCTGTGTTTTGATCTCGCTCTGGCAGATTTAGTGAGTCATGGCTCAGAGCTGATGGATGGAAGAGACCTTGGCCTGTTCACACACAAACACACACACACACACGTTAACACACACACGCACACACACACACACGTTAACACACACACACACACACATTAACACACACATCCTCCCAGCTGCTCCTGTCTCTGTGCGTTTGGTGTGAAGGCTTCGACGTGTCTTCGCTTTGCTTTCAAGAAGAAATATGTCGCATTATGTTCATTTTGGCCCTGACACATGACTTACTTTAGTTTTTCAGTTTTTATCTCTCTCTCTGGTCTCTCTCTGGTCTCTCTCTGATCTCTCTCTGGTCTCTCTCTGGTCTCTCTCTGGTCTCTCTCTGGTCTCTCTCTGGTCTCTCTCTGGTCTCTGGTCTCTCTCTGGTCTCTCTCTGGTCTCCACCTGGTCTCTCTCTGGTCTCCACCTGGTCTCTCTCTGGTCTCTCTCTGGTCTCTCTCTGGTCTCTGTATTTCTTTAACATTATTCTCGTTTTTTTTTTTTTTTACAGCGTACAAATGCAGATGCACTCGCAAAGGGCCGAAGATCCGCTACAAGGACGTGCAGAAGCTGGAGATCAAACCCAAACACCCGTTCTGTCAGGAGAAGATGATTTTGTGAGTTTGTTGATACGAAAACCTCCATCTTTAGACACTCCTGGTACAGACATGTGACTCCGCCCCCTTCTGCTGCGGTCATGTGACTTCACAGACCTGGAGTTACCCACGTAACTTTACCACTCAGAAAATTAGAGTGAGGAGCTGTGGACACACACAGAAAGACACACACAGAGACACACATGAGACACACAGGCAGACACACACAGAGACACACACACGCAGGCAGACACACACAGAGAGACAAATGAGACACACACCGACAGACACACACAGACAGAGACACACACACAAACAGACAGACACTCACAGAGACACACACACGCAGGCAGACACACAGAGACACACAGACAGACACACACATAGACAGACACACACACACACAGAGACACACACACGCAGGCAGAAACACAGAGAGACACACACACATTCACATTCACACTCGCAAACACACCTGGATTCTCTTTGCCAGAGAGAGAGACTGGAGGGAGAGACCAGAGAGAGAGAGACCAGAAAGAGAGAGACCAGAAAGAGAGAGACCAGAGAGAGAGAGACCAGAAAGAGAGATCAGAGAGAGAGAGACCAGAAAGAGAGACCAGAGAGAGAGTCCTACCACTGCGGTGCACACAAGCCACAAAAGTTTTCCTCTTTAACTTTAACTAAAATAACTGTGATGTTAGTGTTTGATGTTAGTGTTTGATGTTGTTGGAGTAAACACACTTGAGAAACACACAACATCAAAAACACACAACACCAAAAAACACACAACAAAATCTGCAACACAATGAGGCCACAGAAGGAGAACCATGTCACAGCGAGACACCTCTGTAACGACAACATGACAAAAATTACAAACGTCAATACTTCCTGGGAGGACGAGCCCAACTGGTCCCGGTCCTGGTCCTGGTCGCGGTCCTGGTCCTGGTCCTGGTCCTGGTCCTGGACACACACACACACAGAGACAGACACAAACACACCTGGATTCTCTTAACCAGAAAGCGAGAGAAAGACCAGAGAAAAACCAGAGAAACACCAGAGAGAACAGCGAGGGAGAGAGACCAGCGAGGGAGAGAGACCAGCGAGAGCGAGAGAGACCAGAGAGAGAGAGAGACCAAAGAGAGAGAGAGACCAAAGAAACACCAGAGAGAGATGAGAGGGACCTCTGTTACGACAACATGAAAAAGTTACAAACGTCAGCACTTCCTGGGAGGACTGGCCCACCTGGTCCTTGTCCTGGTTCTTGTCCTGGTCCTTGTCCCGGTCCTGTCGTCCTGGAACCATGGGAAGTGACTCTAATTCCGATGGTATTTCCTCTGGTATCTCTCTTGGAGCGTGATGACATGATACCAGCTGGTTCTTCCTGGTCCTGGCCTCAGAGTGTGGTTTGGCAGCCGCCGCCGCAGCAGCCGCAGCAGCCGCAGCAGCAGACGACAGATGGTGTGGATCCAGACAGTGCTCTCTACTGCCCCCTACAGACCACTCACAGATGTCCTCACGCACAAACAGGTGGCTCTGGCTCCACACGCAGCAGGTGATAACAAACGCCAAGAGCAGAACGAGCAGAAAGAGCAGAACGAGCCCGAGTCGGAGGGAATAAGGAACAGTTAGGGTTTGCAAAAGTCCAAAAAGTTCAAAGAAGAAACCTTTTTGTAAGAATAAACAAGAAATGTATACAGTGAGAGTGAAACACACACAATCACACAGACACACACCCAGACACACACAGACACACACAGAGAGACACAAACACACACAGCAGGTGAAAGCTGTGGAACCATTAATGTTGCAACAGTCCATGAAAGACGAAAACTTTCTGCGAGAATTTAAGGAAATAATCTGTCCTCAGTCTCGTCTCCTCAGTCTCGTCTCCTCAGTCTGGTCTCCTCAGTCTGGTCTCCTCAGTCTGGTCTCCTCAGTCTTGTCTCCTCAGTCTCATGTCCTCAGTCTGGTCTCCTCAGTCTGGTCTCCTCAGTCTGGTCTCCTCAGTCTCATGTCGTCTCCTCAGTCTTGTGTCCTCAGTCTGGTCTCCTCAGTCTGGTCTCCTCAGTCTGGTCTCCTCAGTCTGGTCTCCTCAGTCTGGTCTCCTCAGTCTGGTCTTGTCTCCTCAGTCTCATGTCCTCAGTCTGGTCTCCTCAGTCTGGTCTCCTCAGTCTCGTCTCCTCAGTCTCATGTCGTCTCCTCAGTCTCGTGTCCTCAGTCTGGTCTCCTCAGTCTGGTGTCCTCAGTCTGGTCTCCTCAGTCTGGTCTCCTCAGTCTCGTCTCCTCAGTCTTATATCCTCAGTCTGGTCTCCTCAGTCTGGTCTCCTCAGTCTCGTGTCCTCAGTCTCGTGTCCTCAGTCTCGTGTCCTCAGTCTCGTGTCCTCAGTCTCGTGTCCTCAGTCTCGTCTCCTCAGTCTCGTCTCCTCAGTCTCGTCTCCTCAGTCTCGTCTCCTCAGTCTCGTCTCCTCAGTCTCATGTCCTCAGTCTGGTCTCCTCAGTCTGGTCTCCTCAGTCTGGTCTCCTCAGTCTGGTCTCCTCAGTCTGGTCTCCTCAGTCTCGTCTCCTCAGTCTTATGTCCTCAGTCTCATGTCCTCAGTCTCATGTCCTCAGTCTCATGTCCTCAGTCTCGTCTCCTCAGTCTCATGTCCTCAGTCTCATGTCCTCAGTTTCGTCTCCTCAGTCTCATGTCCTCAGTCTCGTCTCCTCAGTCTCATGTCCTCAGTCTCATGTCCTCAGTCCTGTGTCCTCAGTCTCGTCTCCTCAGTCTCGTCTCCTCAGTCTCGTCTCCTCAGTCTTGTGTCCTCAGTCTTGTGTCCTCAGTCTCGTCTCCTCAGTCTCGTCTCCTCAGTCTCGTGTCCTCAGTCTCGTCTCCTCAGTCTCGTCTCCTCAGTCTCGTCTCCTCAGTCTCATGTCCTCAGTCTCGCGTCCTCAGTCTTGTCTCCTCGGTCTCTCGTCCCCAGTCTCGCTCCCTGCTCTTATGAAACAGCCCTAACCACATTAGCAGCTGACTGTGGCCTGAATGGGAATGAGGCAGAATAACGTGTGAATGAAAAGACTAATTAGGTTAGATTACTCCCCAACAAGCTGCAGGACAAACATACAAAGCAGATATGAAGGTTTTGTGTTGAATTAAAGCTGGGGTTCGTAACTTTCAAACCACAAAACAGTGAACTAGGTCATACTCAAATGCAGCTGGGTGATTCTCGCGAAATCAGACTTACAAGGTGGCATGAAGAATAAGATGACCAAAGTAAATGCAATGGAAATTATAATGATACATTTATAAACATGTCATCACAGGCTATGTTGCACATGATTTAAAGTGAACATTATAAAAATATTTTTATTGTTTTTTCCATATTTAATAGTAAATTTCTCATTACCGCAACGCGTCCATTACTGAATTTGAGAACTTTGAAATACAATTTTTTAAACAAAAAAAATATGAAATGTATAAAGCATCAGTGCATGTTATACTATAAACAGTTACAATAAATAAACATGTGATATTAGGTATTCTTGTATAAAATAAGTTAAAGTTTTAAGGAAAATAACTTTGTCCACAACCATTTTTCTCATCCTCCGCAACAATTTTCAATAATCGTTTAAGTCCACAAGGAACTTACAAAATCAAATAATTCTGAAGGGAGGAACATCATTTCCAGTGACACTTAAAATAGCTACCAGGTAAGCACCTCATTTTATTTCTCTCCAGATAAAAGTTAAAAGTTTGTTCATTACAGCAGCTACACGACTTTTCATTTCTCATTACCGATACGCAACGTTTTTAACATTGATATATTTTTTTTATTTAAAAATTCTTGTTTATTATATACTTCATTGTGGTCCAAAAATAAACAGCCAGCTAAAGTTTAGCTAAGCCTTGTGGTGCCTTCGCAGACAGCGGAAAATTTCAAGGTCACTCATACTCCGCAACAGCATTATCATACACCGCAACAGTTAAAGGCATGTTGCGGTAGAGAGATTCACTGTTTCGGTAATGAGAAATTGATATGTTATACCAGGAATTAACACAGATATTTTTAACACATTTATGAAAAACACTTAAATAACAAAAATAATATAGCTTTTAATTATAAAGTATACCTGTAAACCTTCCAGCAGAAGTCATTAGTTTCAGTTGGCTCAGTTGGTAGAGCATTATTAGCCTTTAAGGCTAGAGGTCATGGGTTCAAGCCCACCACAAGACCTACTCCACCAACTCCCACTGATGTCTGCTGTTGTTGTATCCTTGGGCAAGACACTTTATCCCACTTTGCCTGAAGGCCCCTCTGAAAGACTAAGGCTATGCCATAGAGCTGTGCTCTGTGTAATGAGTGGCATCTCTGGCCACTTTCCAACCCAGGAATAGATTAAGGGGAAGAAAATGGATGGATTATTTTACAGAATATTTTGCCCCCCTGGTCTACTCCAAGGTACTGGAGAGGAGGCTACGTCCGATGGTCGAATCTCGGATTCAGGAGGAGCAGTGTGGTTTTCGTCCCGGTCGCGGAACACTGGACCAGCTCTACACTCTCCATCGGATACTCGAGGGTTCATGGGAGTTCGCCCAACCTGTCCACATGTGCTTTGTGGATTTGGAGAAGGCGTTCGACCGTGTTCCCCGGGGTGTCCTTTGGGGGGTCCTCCGGGAGTACGGGGTCCGGGGTCCTCTGCTGAGGGCCGTCCGGTCCCTGTATGACCAGAGTCAGAGCTGTGTTCGCATTGCCGGCAGTAAGTCAGACCTGTTCCCGGTGCATGTTGGCCTCCGCCAAGGCTGCCCTTTGTCACCGGTTCTGTTCACTGTATTTATGGACAGAATTTCTAGGCGCAGCCAGGGGCCGGAGGGGGTCCGGTTCGGGAACCACAGGATTTCATCTCTACTTTTTGCGGATGATGTCGTCCTGCTGGCTCCAACGAACCAGGACCTGCAGCATGCACTGGGACGGTTTGCAGCCGAGTGTGAAGCGGCTGGGATGAGAATCAGCACCTCCAAATCCGAGGCCATGGTGCTCGACCGGAAAAAGGTGCCTTGCCCTCTCCAGGTGGGTGGAGAGGTCCTTCCTCAAGTGGAGGTCAAGTATCTCGGGGTCTTATTCACGAGTGAGGGAAGGACGGAGCGTGAGATTGACAGGCGGATCGGTGCAGCGTGCGCAGTGATGCGGTCTCTGTATCGGGCCGTTGTGGTAAAGAGGGAGCTGAGCCGAAAGGCAAAGCTCTCGATTTACCGGTCAATCTTCGTTCCCTCCCTCACCTATGGTCATGAGCTGTGGGTAATGACCGAAAGAACGAGATCGCGGATACAAGCGGTCGAAATGAGCTTCCTCCGCAGAGTGGCTGGGCGCTCCCTTAGAGACAGGGTGAGGAGCTCGGTCACACGGGAGGAGCTCGGAGTAGAGCCGCTGCTTCTCCACGTCGAGAGGAACCAGTTGAGGTGGCTCGGGCATCTGTTCAGGATGCGTCCTGGACGCCTTCCTGGGGAGGTGTTCCGGGCACGTCCCACCGGGAGGAGGCCCCGGGGAAGACCCAGGACACGCTGGAGAGACTATGTCTCTCAGCTGGCCTGGGAACGCCTTGGGGTCCCCCCGGACGAGCTGGAGGAGGTGTGTGTGGATAGGGAAGTCTGGGCGTCTCTGCTTAGACTGCTGCCCCCGCGACCCGGCAACGGATAAAGCGGAAGAAAATGGATGGATGGATTATGCCCCCCTGGACTACCACCTTAACATGGTAAGGAAGTTGGAGTACTCTGATGATCCTGGGAGCTATGTTGTCTGGGGCTTCATGGTAGGGTCTCCCATGGCAAACAGGTCTCAGCTGATGAGTCAGACGAAGCGCAGTCCAAAAAACCAACCATGTATAGCATGTTATTGAGAACCGTGACGTCGCCCGGCATGGCGCAGCCGGGGCCCCACCCTGGAGCCAGGCCTGGGGTTGGGGCTTGTATGCGAGAGTCTGGTGGGCCTTAGCCCACGGGGCCCGGCCGGGCTCAGCCCAAAGGGATGACATGGGCAGGCCCTCCTTTGGACCCACCACCCACAGAGGGATCCGTGGTGGAGAGGTGCTGAGAGGACTGGGCAGCAGTCGAAGGCGGTGACCTCAACGACCCAGTCCACGCACACAGCATCTGGCTCTTGGGACGTGGAACGTCACCTCACTGGGGGTGACACACAGCTCGGGCACCGCAATCCAAATCCTCGAGAGGGGTTGGACGCTCCACTTTTCTGGTGTTTCTCGCGGGGAGAGGCGGCGAGCTGGGGTGGCCATTCTCATTGCCCCCCCATCTCAGCTCCATGTGTTGGAGTTCTCCCCGGTTAATGAGAGGGTCGCGTCCCTCCGCCTCCGGGTGGGGGACAAGTCTCTCACTGTTGTGACGGCCTACGGGCCTAACAGCAGTGCAGAGTACCCGCCCTTCTTGGAGTCCTTGGGAGTTGTACTGGACGGTGTACCGCCCGGGGACTCCGTTATTCTCCTGGGGGACTTCAACGCCCATGTGGGAAATGCCAGTGACACTTGGAGAGGGGTGATTGGGAAGAACGGCCCCCCTGATCTGAACCCGAGCGGTGTTCAGTTGTTGGACTTCTGTGCTAGTTACAGTTTGTCCATCACAAACACCATGTTCCAGCACAAGGGTGTCCACCAGTGCATGTGGCACCAGGACACCCTAGGCCGGAGGTTGATGGTCGACTTTGTTTTCATATCATCTGACCTTCGACCGCGTGTCTCGGACACTCGGGTGAAGAGAGGGGCGGAGCTGTCAACCGATCACCACCTGGTCGTGAGTTGGATCCGCTGGCAGAGGAGGAAGCCGGTCAGACCTGGCAGACCCAAGCGTGTAGTGAGGGTCTGCTGGGAACGTCTCGCTGAGCCCCCTGTCAGACGGACTTTTAACTCACACAACTCACTGGGAGAGCTTCTCCCAGGTCCCGGCGGAGGAGGGGGACATTGAGTCTGAGTGGACTATGTTCTCCGCATCTATCACCGATGCTGCAGCTCGCAGCTGTGTTCTCAAGGTCTCTGGTGCTGGTCCCGGCAGCAGACCCTGAACCCGGTGGTGGACACCGGCAGTAAGGGATGCGTCAGGATGAAGAAGGAGTCCTATCAAGCCATGATGGTCTGTGGGACTCCTGAGGCAGCTGTCCAGTACCGGTGTAACGCCGAGATACACTGTCTTGAAGAGATGCACTGCCTCAGCTGTTTATGATGTAATGCAAACCTGCGCATGCGCATCTCACGGCAACCGAAGCATACCAAGATGGCGGACCGTGAATTGCTTTAAAAGTTGAAATACGAACGAATTAAGACACGAATGCCACTTTTAATGCAATTTGAGGCGAGATGTTGATGGTTCCGTTTTGTCACATGTGGGTTTTAAGAGTCAAAGTTTCGTGCAAAGTTTAGTTTAAGCAGTCAACTGCGCCTGTGAAACCACAAAGCTAATGTTTTCATAGCAGTCCGCGGCTGCTGACGTAGGCTGATGACTCGTCCTGTGGCCACTCTACACTCTTACACTGGTCTGTCGGGTTGATAATGGAAAATGGAGAAAAAAATCAATCTAATTAAATATTTTGTTTGAACACACTATTGTTAATCATATTAAATACAGTACGATACATGTATTGAATGAAATTTATTATTTCCATTATCAACCCGACAGACCAGTGTAAGAGTGTAGAGTGGCCACAGGACGCGTCATCAGCCTACGTCAGCAGCCGCGGAGACTGCTATGAAAACATTAGCTTTGTGGTTTCACAGGCGCAGTTGACTGCTTAAACTAAACTTTGCACAAAACTTTGACTCTTAAAACCCACATGTGACAAAACGGGACCATCAACATCTCGCCTCAAATTGCATTAAAAGTGACATTTGTGTCTTAATTCGTTCGTATTTCAACTTTTAAAGCAATTCACGGTCCGCCATCTTGGTATGCTTCGGTTGCCGTGAGACGCGCATGCGCAGGTTTGCATTACATCATAAACAGCTG